CAATTTAGATTTTTCCCATTTTATTTGTTCACAAATTTATTTGGAATGCGGGATGTCAGAATTATATATATATAATTCTGGCATAGTATCCATTCGGAGTCTGTGAGCTCACATCTATCCTTGGAGGCTTTGTACCAATAAATTGTAAGTTATTATTAATAAATATAGTTGTTATGCTATAAAACCTGATGTTGCATTACGTGATCTCCCCCCTTCTTTTATTGAACAGTACAAGCTCTTCACCAAATTGATTTATAGTGGCAGAAAACAGCAGTTAAGACGATCACAAGGAGGGTATTTAAAAACAAGTCTTCCTGGAATTGGAAACAGTCAAGAGAAAGCGTCTGTCAAGGGAATGACGGCAAGCCTTGCCCAAGTTAAATGTTTGTAGGATTTTTCATCTGCCTGGTAGTCCCTAAAATTTAAATCTCCGATTCTCCACTAGGTTTTTATTGCCCACCAGGGAACAACTTTAAATATGTATTTTTGCAGAGACACCCTTTGAGAGAAGGCGGTCATTTAAAGATGGGAAAGAAAGGTAATCACACAATTTGAAAGTATTCTGAAATGTAGACTGTAGCTTAATTAGTTTCTATACCTTATCTTTTGAAAAAGAGACCCTATTACCTGCATACTGTGTTTATAAATATATTAATATCTCCTCCCCCCACCCCCCGGTGGTATTTTCTTTGGCTTTAACTCACTAACTACACGGGACCAAAAATTGTCAGCCCTAACTCTAACGACTGCCAGTTTGAGCGAAGCACACATCCAGGTTTGGGGAATATGTCGTGTTTGTTTTGGCAACTGCTGCCGGGTCGAACAGTTTCCATTCCATCCGAACTCAGTCAAACGGTTTTGAAATATTGCACAATAAAAGCCATTCATTATAGCTGTCCTCTCTTGCCTTTAAAAAAAAAGGAGGGGGAGGGCGGGAATTACTACTGACCAGTTCCAACTCTGTGCAGGGGGCAGGAAGCGGAGAGTCAAGAGGTCACTGGAAATCACCCAAAACTAACACCAAGTTTTTTTCCCCGCTTCAGTTAGGGAATATGTTCCATTTGCCTTCCTTTCCAGCGCACACTTGGGTTAGAGCCCTCAACTCTCCAAAGACTGGTTCAAGTAGTTAATTGCTCTGCTATGCACAATTTACAAAGCTTAATTACAAAACTAATACATTAGCCTTCTTGTCTAAGTGTCAAAGGCAAAGTTATGCCTTCCCACAAGGCTGGTGGGGCAATTAAATCCTTTCTTCTGCGTCCAAGTAAATGTGAATTCCAATGTCGGGAAGGATGGATTGTATATAGAAACAACCTGGCATCCATGGGAAGTTCTTGGAATCCAGCGCTGGGAAAAGTTACATTCTTCAGCTACAATCCCCAGAATCTCTCAGACAGCATGGCCACGGCTCTAATTCAACACTAGGGAACATACCGTAGTTCCCTATAAATACTAATGAACTACTGTTCTCTTCACCAGGAGCCAGCTTGGTGTCCAACAGATTCTGGAGATGTAAAAGCTCAACATCTGAGTAGCCACCACTGCTGCCTTTTAACATTTCATCTGGTATTGATCATGCAAGCTGATTTCTTTAGCCCTAAGAACATCCTGTTTTGGAAGTCATGGTAGAAGGATAACGGATACTCAACCACTGCTGCCTTTTAACATTTCATCTGGCACTGATCATGCAAGTAACGGATACTCGTGCCCAACTGCAGGCCAAACAGTCAGCACATCTCCTCAGTTCCAGAAAGGAATTACGACAATCATACTATCCATTCCCTGAATGCCATTCAGGTTTAGTAATACAGCTTTCTGGGGTTGTTGGTGGAGGAATTAAATGGGACTTTGCTTAGGCAGAATGGCCTAGATTCTTGCCATGGTATATCTGCTGTATGCCAAGAACTGTGGGAAGCCCTCCATTTTAACAGCCTTTGGCAGCCAGCCATTGGGAAGAGTATTCATTGCCACTGGGAAACTGGTCTGGTAGGCTTGTTCTTCTTAGGACATGCCATGATTCTGGATCGGTCTTTCTAGCAAAACCGTACTTCTGAGTCCAGTTCAAATTGCATGGATCTCACGCATCCTTTTCTTGGCATTGGCTAGAGTCACTTTTTGAAGAGTGCAACTTGACCAAGCTGGCTGGGAACTGTAGTCAAATAAAAAGGAACTTTCCCTTCTCCTTGCTTATTTTTCATTATGGGATCAGCAACCATTTATCCCGAGTAAATGCTATTCCAAATATGGGTGGGCAAGCAAGCAGAAAGACCTCCAAACATACAACACAACTATGGGCCATAATGGCTGAAGACCCTTGGGGACCACTTTGGTGGCAACATAGCCTCACTGTTTGGAGTAGCTGCATCCAAAGCTAGCATAGGCACAGTGACATCCTGCCTACAAGAGGAGAGTCACATCATTATTTTGACAATGTGGCAGTTGCACAAACAACCCATTTCCACATGTACGAAAACGAAGAAAACATTTGCGATCTAATTTTAACATATCTAGAATTGTTTTGGCAGAAGAGGATAGAAAACATTTGCGATCTAATTTTAACATACAGTATCTAGAATTGTTTTGGCAGAAGAGGACTAAGGACAGCTATAAAAACATTCATGATACTGACTGGGCTGTCTTCATTCTTGTGGAAAGATAGGACCAGATGGCTAACAGTGACTTTTGCCAAGCTTTCTTAATGACCAAATCAGGAATTGCTTTAAAAAATAAATTAAAGTGATTCAGAATCTACAGTTGCCTAAGAAGTTCCTTCTTATATGGTGGTTGGGAGACGATCGGGGGGGGTGTGACCCTGTCGAGGTCAGAGAAAGGGGTACCTGCTTTTCATCCAGAAATGCATTCTCCGGAATTTCCAGTGAAAGGGATTGGCTAAGCATATGACGGGGAATACTTCTGCTTGAAAACTTGGAGTATGGCTGATAAGAGTACACAATAATCTAGGCTAAATGGAGAAACAGTCTGAAATGGGATAAAACAGTCTCGTCTCCTGGTAGCCAACTTTTTCTAACCAAAGATGCCAAGGACTGAACTCAGTGCCATTTGAATTATTGCTATTGAACAACGGACCCCTTCTGAGTTATACATGCAAGACAAGAGTGCCACAGACACCATTATGATTCCTGTGCAAGTTGAGTTCTTCTGCAAATCACCTTGGCAGGATCCCACCTTACAATACCACATTGCATGTAATAAGTACAACCTGGAACCAGTTGCCTTGGCTTGCAAATTTTCGTGTTCTAAAGGGAGAGTGAAGTAGATGAAATTTCTCTTCAAGTCTCGTTAAGAGTAGCCATGCATACGATTTTGTCTTCCAATTCTGATCAGCCTTAGCCAGCAGTGAGAGGTGATGAAAGCTGCAGTCCAAAACACATCTTTCTTCTATATAATAAGTTGGTAAACTTGCATCGACACCAAATGCAGCAAGTCTCTTAAGGGGTACCATAGTATGTACACATTTTAAGGAGAAAAGAGCATTACAAATTCTTGCAGACCCTCCAGTTGACAATTTTCTGCAGCTATGGCAGACTTTACAAGGGAAACCTCAAAGTTCTTCCATTAGAGTTTCAAGGCTTTTCCAGCAATAGCCAGAACTAGTGCCGTTATCTGTTCTGAAAACCTATCTGTGAGATTATTCCCCTTACCAAGAAGCACTGCAGACCTAACAGGTGTTGAGACCTAAAATGGGTCAGCAAAATACTGTTTAAAGGAACTCGTCCTCTCTTAAGTGTAAAAATCTACCATATAGGTACAGTATTTACATTTTCCAGAGCCATTTTGCTGCAAATAGATGAATTAGTAGTTTAACTGGAAATGAAGTATTTTTGATTCCCCTTCAACGACGACTTCGTAAGAAGGGATTACTTCACACATTATTGGTACAAACCTTAGGAAGAGAACCATCTTTAGTTTGAATAGGTCTATTATATTATGGGCAAGAGAAAAAAACATTGTGCTGAGCACACACACACAACAGCGCCCACATTTCTGACCCATTCAGGAGTTGCACTTACATAGGAAAATGTCAGAGGTGAAGCAGCCCTTTCAAAGTGTCAACTGAAAAAACTCAAGTTTCGTCCTTTCCTTGGCGATTCTCCAGATTTTCCATATGGGAGGCAGGTGGGCTTACCCAAAAACAGCTATAGGGTAACCACAGGGGCTAAGAGTTGTAAAGGAGCCACAAAGTATGCATTTCTTGATTCCTCAAAGGAACAGTGTTTCAGAGAGACGTGTGGTCACTGGATGAAATGTTTGACTTTGCACACCGTTCAGATGTGAGGGGTCCCTTGATAATTGCTCACTCCTCTCTGGTACAATGGTCCCAAATACCCCTTCTCCCCATAAGTGCTCTATGGGTCTCAGCTCTCTCACTATTTATGCTTCAAGCTCTCCATTTAGATTCAACCTGGCTCAGGTTACAGCTTCTACCTCTGGATGATTACCAGAACTGGAGAGAGCTACATGCCAAGTCTTAACACAACCCACATCTCTGCACTGGTGACAGCAAAATCAACCTTCTCTTGCCAATTCTGACCAGCACTTCGACTTCAAATCTTCTCATGGGCAGGTCCTTTTCCTTGCTTCCAAATGTGAACACAGCAAACAATAAACAAACAAACAAAATAACATTTTTAAAAAGTGGTAAATCTAAAATTCCAACCACGGACACACGGAAATTAATAGAAACTACATTACGTATAACTGACAAGCCCCATTCATTTCAATGGGCCTATTCTATCGGTGACTAACGCTGGCTTAACCCATAAAATAGAAACACGCAAAAACAGAATGATTTAAAGTATTGCAAATCTCAGATCATAAAGAGTGGAATGCAAAACCATTTTTTAAAGGGAAAAAAGGTATTTATTTCTTTCCCACGATACCAATCAAATGCTCTAGATAGCTTACAAACATTTCAAGACTATAAAAATCAAACCATTTAACACAGAGAATTAAAATGAACAGAACTGGCTGGGGGGGGGGGGGGGAGGGAGATCACATGAAACTGTCCTGTAGGGGGAAAAACAAAAGACTGCTACAACAACACACACTGGAAGGCTTTTAAAAATAAATGCATTGTTCTGCTTCTTAAAAGCCTGTGGGGCAAAACATTAGCTCTCCAGGTAGAGAAATGATTTGGGGAAATGATTTGCAATACCAAGTTGCAGATCTACAGCAGAACTGGAAAGAAAAACCCAAGGCTGAAGCTGATGCATGAAGAAACAACACACTGTTTCATGTTCTACTGTAGACTGGCAGCAAATCGAGAGATTGGGTTCAAAAAACTCTTGGCAGAAAAGCAACTAGCAGGACACTCAGTACGTGATCATTGGTGGATGGGGACAGAGGATGTGTCTTAATACTGAGGATAAGGGCAGGCTGCAGGGCAGAATGAAGGATGTGAAATGGAACTAGAATGGGGATCTTGAACTTTATCAGGAAGTGTGGACGAACTGCTCCAAAGCCATCACTGTAGGAGGGTTATGAGAGATGAATTCCTTGAGATATAAGCCACTATCCTATTCCTAGAGAATAGACCCACTGACTTGATTCCTGAGTAGTAATCAACATGTATACAAATCCCACTTAAACAATGGGCCTACTCCAGTTGTGACAAGCAACAAAACAGCAGCCAAGGGGAGTTAAAGGGTCTCCACCTCTCTGCTCTGCTGTTGTAGAGTAACACTGCTGTAGACCTATTGTGGCGTTTACCACACCAGTGATAGGTGTCGGACAAGACTGGAGTTCTTGTCTGCAATCGAACTTGGACATCCTTAAAATAACAAGGAACTTCACTCATGGGGACGTTTTGCTTCTCATCAACTGTACAAATATTGAATCTGATATCCATCTTTCCTTTACAAATGATGGGGCAACTTTCTCTCAAGTCTTAGAAAGATACTTACATGGGTTGATGTTTTTCATACAAAAAAGATGGTCCGGTATATGCCGGGGGGAAAATGGCTGTTCCCATGTCATCAGATATGTAATGGGGAAACTGGTTTAAAAAAATCCTCTTGGGAAAATAAAGAGCACCTCAACTGTTGAATTGCTGAGGATGGCAGAGTTTTTGCAGTAGTGTGGAGTAAACACCTGCCTGAACAAATCTGTTTTCACTCAGATATACTGGGATCTTGTGGAGAAAGTACTGGTACAATAATGGGCTAGAACAACAAAGGGAAAAAGTAATGGGACATAATCCCCTAATGATTCCACCAACCACATTTACTTATGGAAGGAAACAAACAGTTCAATAAACAATATTCAAAGCCATCGACCAAAATCCTGTTGTTGCAAGATACCACACACCTGGGAAGATTCATGAAAGTGATATTCAGAATTAGCTCTCTGCTGAGCATGCGACAGACTGCCGGAATGATCACTTTCAAAGGGTATTCCGTTCTCAGTTTATAGGATTCTGGCCAGTGAATAAATGAAATATTAATGTCTCTCTTCTCAGCCGTTTCCTTCACTTTCAGCAACTGATAGCAAATTTAGCCGGGTTCAGCTTTGTTTTATATCAGCTCCATATAATTCAATCCATGTTAAACATTTCCTACTTTTCAGCTGTTATCAATGAGAAAATTAAGCATATGCTTAACATGTGTCTCACTGAAATGAAACAAAGGTCTGAATGGTCAGCAGCTTATTGGGCCTTTGTCTGCAGCAAAACTAAAATATAGACTCGTTTCAGGTGGATGGCAGGCCTGTTTATTTTTAATTCCATATGACTTCAATCATGGATCCACTGTCTTCCGCAAAACAAAAAGCAACTTCAAAAAATAATTTGTAAAAGTCATGTCATACTGCCCTCTTCTGATATACCCAGGATACAGACCCTGAAAGAGAAGAAAATTACAACTTGAAACAAATTGGTCATATTTTAGCTCTCCGTTTAGAAAGACATAGATTGCCTACTTTTAGCAATCGGTGTAGTTTCAAACTAGTAAAAAATGCTACAGAATAAAAGATACCCAATGGATCATTATGAGTATTTTTTAATACAAATCTATGACTCTAGAACAGCGGTTCCCAACCTTGGGTGCCCAAATATTCTTGAACTAAAACTCTCAGAAGCCTTTACCACTAGCTGTGCTGGCCAGGATTTCTGGGAGTTGTAGTCCAAGAACATCTGAGGATCCAAGGGTGGGAACCACTGCTCTAGAAACATCCATGGGATCTGACTATATGGTACGCCAAGCCTTGAATTTCTTTACAAGTTAGTGTAAGAAACCAGCTATTCAGACATGGTCATCCATGCACGCTACTGTATATGCAGGTGCAAAACCCCTTTGTATGAATCCTACAGACCATGATGAAGAACCTAAGCAGGTGCAAAACCCCTTTGTATGAATCCTAGAGAGCATGATGAAGAACCTATTTCACCTCTCACCAATATTAGAAACAGTTTAGACCAATGAGCTATCATTCATTAATATTTGTTTCTGTTTCTTTGAAAGAAAAATGTACACCATTTTTGTTGCAGTCTTCAAACACAATAAAACACAAGGGAGTTTGTTGGCTGGCGTTTCCAACAACTTCCAAGGCTGCAGTTAGAAATGGGCACCAACCACTGGTTTGGTAGTTTTTTTCCTGGTTCAATAGGTGTTCAGCACTTCCCAGCCCTGCCTCCTCAGGCAGATGCCCACTCAGGGGGAGTGCCCAGAGGAGGCAGGGCAGGGAAGCCGGGGCACTGCCTTGAGTGGGCACCTGCCAGAGGAGATTTCAGAAGGTAACTAAATTAGAGTGGGGCTTGCCAGCTACATTCAGTCATCAACTGGGCATTTAAGTTTGCAATGACGTCAGGAAAGTACCCACTTTATTTGTATATTCTTCCATATTTTTGTTTTCAGCTACAGTCCATAATTCTTTCCCCCCAAATTAGACAAGTAAGGAAGATGGAGTCTTATCTAGATTTTCAAAAATGCAAATATCCAACTATCTAGTGGTATATGCTGGGTGAGTCATGATAACTTAGCTAGTTGAATAGTGAACGTTCACCTTTTGAACTGGAGCAGTCTAAATCAAACAACAGGCTGGTTCTTGAAGAATGTTCTTGCTTCATAATCCTTCCGGTAGCAGAGGTCACTTCTGTACCCCAGGCTCGCTCTTCTGTTTCGCTGAACCCGCAAGACGTTTTCATTTTCCTTAGGACTCAGCACACACATGCTATTCCTCCTTCGCTTGGGTTCCCGAGGGCCAGTCACAACATGTGCATTCTCCTGCTCCTCATTCCGTGGAAAGAGCCCCGGGACGCAATGTATTTGCATTTGGTGAAGCAGCTCTGATCCTTGAGGACCGAAGGACTTTCTTCTCTTGGCTTTAGAAGGAGCGTTCAGGGGTGCTTGGCCTCTCATATTATTATCAGGTATCTGAATCCAAACAAGCCCCTTGTTTTCTGTATCTTTATGTTGCCTCATGCTACGTCTCACATGTCTGGATCTGTCTTCTACAGAGCACTCTAAATTCTTTAAGCATATAGGGTCATCTGCCACAGGAGGTAGTTCTTCTGTATTATTTTCAGCTACATCATCTCCAGGTGTTTCAGACTGAAAAGCCTCGACACTTGAACGATAGCAGGTGAGTCTTCTGCTTCTTCGTGGGAATCTTTTAAAATCCACAGCATCTTTTCCCCTCATCGGATCTCTTTCAGAACCAACCGCAAAAGGCAAGACTCCTTTGGCCTTGCTATTTTGATCCATTCCACTCAGGTTTAGTACCTCTGGCACCCTCTGCATCTCAGCCTCATTTGAGGTACAGTCATTTTTCAACACCAGTTTGTTTTCATGCAAGGCACACTTCTGTTTCTCAAGAGAGCTGTTTTCAGGGGAGTCCAGAGGAACAATTTTCTTCATATCGTTTGCAGCACCATCGTGAAGTTGGGAGGGCGGGCTTGTCACCAGATCCTCTCCATTCGGAAGATCCAGGCAGTTGTTATTGCCTTCATCAAAACACAGCACTCCGTTTTCAGCAGGTCCATTCAATGATTTTGCATGCAGGAGGTTAGCGCTGGAATCATCTGAGACAAAATTTTAATTAGAGAGGAAAACAGACTGTATTTTCATTGCCAAGCTGCAAGCTCTTTTTTTTAGAACTTGCCTCACTACTCTCTAACTTATCACTTATAAGCCCATGCGCCAGGATTAAAAGAAACACACAGGCGACAAAAAAACAAACAAACAAAAAAAAACACCTTGCATTCTCGGACCCAGTATTCCCATCAACTGAGGGCTAGCAACATGCTTAGGTTCAGGGCCAGGAATTTCATCTATAGTTTTTGTATTAGCCGACTTCAGTGAGAATTCCAATGTCCACCAAGATGGAACAACCTGTTGACAACCAAGCACGTCTCCTCTGCTTCTCTGCACCAGCATTCCTCCAAAACAGCACAGGATAAAAATATTGTCGTCTCAGCTCAAACCAATATGTGTTCAAACTGTTGACTGTGGGGATGGAACAAATAAAATTCAAACGCTGAAGTCCACATTTTGTTAAGCTGGATATTGTAAGGCTCTCATAAGGAGACATGGCATGCAACAGATAATGCGCATGGAGATTTCTTAACTTTCAATACTTTTCTTCCACAGCGACAGGATTTCGGCCAAAATACCTAAGTGCCATGATGGAAATAGACTAACTTGCTTATAGTATGAAATACAGTACCAATCAACTGTACCTCCAGTTTGTCACTGACGGGAATTGGAAAAACAAAACAGGCTTACGTACCAAGGATGGAACGGTGTGATGTTGGTGTGCTTTGATGAGACGACACCATGGAGAGCTCTTCTTTCGCCTCAGGAATTGGACTCAAAGGGGGCATCTTCGACACAATCTCTCGTGGGCCGTACAGTGCTTTCTGCTCCTTCTTTTTCTTCCTCCTCTTTCCAAAAACTTTCTGTCTCTTAGCCTGAAAACAGTGAGAAGCGATCACAAAACATCCTGTTAAGTTTCCATGCAAACTATATAGGCCTGCAAGTGTTGACTGTTCAGCTGGTGAGAATTCACGGCTGAGTTGTGCTATTTAACACAGGCCAACGTATGTAAATAATAAGACTCTGATCTACTGAATACTACGTCCACATCCACAGAGAAGAAGAATTAGGGTAGCTGTGCTCTGGCAAGTATCTCAAAAACATGGTGCACTCCAAGTGCTGGAGAAGATAACAAAGAGCAGAAAAGGTCCTTGAAAATTGGTATAGTACTCAAAGTGAAGCAAACAGAACTGGAGGCAGTTCCTATGCCTGCAGGTCGAGACCTAACACACTTGTACCATATTATGGGAAGACATCTTGTCTGCAGACTTCCTAAAACAAACATTTAGGCTAATTTGAAAGATAATAGCAAAAAGAATACCTCTTCCATAATAGCGTTTGTAACCAACATTCTAAGTAGTAGCCGTATTTTTAAAAACAATCCTGTCTGATTGATAGAGCAATGTACTTGTTACTGTGATGGGAACTCTATATCTTTTCAGTAAGAACATAAAGATTTTTGCTTGTTAAAAACTATAAAAAGTCACTGAAGATTTTGGTGTAGATGTCTGACCCTGACAACTCAACAAGATTTAAATAACCCACAACATGGGTTATTTAAATGGATGTTTATTCAGGCCTTCCCTCCAGTTAATACTTGAAGCTTTTCTTTTTATTTTCTTTATTTATTCTTTACTCTATTTTTCCATCTTGTAAATTGTTATTGGAAGATACTTGTGCAATAATTCTTGTGTTATTTTTATTAGTTGTTTTATGTTGTATTGGAAGCCGCCTAGAGTGGTTGCAGGACCAGATAGTCGGGGTACAAATAAAATAAACAAACATTTATTTGCAGCTACAATACACTGACAAAGACAAACAGCCATCCTTACACTGTTGATGAAGGCAATGCACAATGCTACTCACTGGAGTCTTTTTATGAGAAGACTTTGCTGTGGGGCTGGCGTTCTCATTTCCACTGGATTTGCGCTTCAGATTCTTTTTGGCTTGTGGCTTCTTTGCTGGGCTGAGATTTATTTTCTCTCTTTCACTGACACGCTGTCAGGAAATACGCATATTACACAGTCAGAATGTAAGATCCAGGTTGCTATGAGTCGGAACTGCATTTTATAGGGACTATTAAAAATATATTGAAACGTCTTCTGTTAGGCTACTTTACAACTCTTAAAATAAAATAAAGAACCTAAAAAGTTCCTGTTGGCTGGATTTAGTTCTTCAAATATTGGGTCACTAATAGGTATTTCCTTAAAATATGTGCTGTTCCAAGTAAGACAGCCTTCTTGCACCTGGTATATCATGATCTCATTTACACCCAGAGCACAATAATGGTATTCTAGACCTTTTGGTATTGGTTATAAAGTGCCAGTTATAACTGGAACTGTTTTAGTCTTCTTTTGACGTAATTGCTCAGCATTTGAATTTGACAATCTTTTTCACATTCCTTCTCTTCCATTCTACTATCCAGACCCATGTCCTTTCAACAATAATCAAATCAGGCTTGTAGTGAGTTTGAATATCAAAATCCCATTCTATGCTGACTTCTCCATTTTCAACATGTTTTCCAGTTTTGTGGTCCCTCCACTTTTTGGCCACTAGTCTATTTCTTAAAGATATTCCCACATGCCATCACTTGCAACTTGATTATGCCCCTCCCAAAAAAGAAAAAAAAAAGTATTTGCACAGCCTTCTTGCAGCCACAGATAAGGTGGTCCACTGTTTCTACTATTTCTTTGCACAGTTATAATTATTAATATCATAGACATCACACAAGGGATGTCATATAGACCTTCATTTGCCACCAGCTATAAAGCTAGTAATAATTTGTTGAGAGATAATCATAAATAAGACATTAAATAACTGTTAATTCAGAGTAGAGAGGAAATCCAGAAACAATGTAAAGGTGTGCATATCCATCTATTCATCCATCTACCTACCTACCTATCAAAATGAGTAACTCATTGGTTAAAAAAAAAGAATAAACTTACCTTAACTTTAGTACACGACCTGGTAATCCTAGTGTAAGTAGCCTGCAGATCAGGGGAGCTGTTCTTTGTTTCTGAAAAATGAGATAAATACTCACATTATGAATAAGGCTTTGATACTCTAAATCAGATATTATGTGTATATTTGCTAGCTTACTGCTCTTTTTTTTAAAGAATTTTGCAAGCTTATGGTTACAATCATTCCATTGCTCATTCCTCATTATACCTAAGCATCTTGATAATTAGTTATGATCAAGAGAAAACATTATAAGTCTGCATAGAGCAAGATCATGTTCATGTTGTGAATTTACTCCTGCTAAGTCCAATGGTCCAGGGAGACTTACTGGATCAATTACATAAATGATGTCTGGCAGTTGAGTCATGGCAACTTCTTCAGACTGAAGAACCTGTACTTGGATGAGTAGCAAAACATTTCAACCTAACAAGAAAGAAGTCCAGCTGCCATGAATAAACTTCCAGACAGCCACACCTGGATGATTTAGAATCTTCACAGATGATTTCACAAGTCTCATTGATTCAAAGGGTCAACGGCGGACTTGGCCAGAGTAATTAATAAACTTCCAGACAGCCACACCTGGATGACTTAGAAACTTCACAGATACATAAGAGATGATTTCACAAGTCTCATTGGTTCAAATGGTCAACGGTGGACTTGGCCAGAGTAATTGCTAACTACAACTTTGTTTTCAGTATTCCCATTTATTGACAGACCAGGTACTTTAATATCTAACAGAATGATTCAAGTTACAGTAGGCATAAATGTAGACCATTAAGGGACTGGTGGGGAACATGCAGACACACTATTGCCCCACAGCTACTGGCAAACAAACACCATTAACCAGTCTGAATTGTTGTTGTTTAGTTGTGTTTGACTCTTTGTGACCCCATGGACCAGAGCACGCCAGGCCCTCCTGTCTTCTACTGCATCCCAAAGTTTGGTCAAATTCATGTTGCTCACTTCAATGACACTGTTAATCAATGTCGTCCTCTGTTGTCCCCTTCTCCTCCTGCCTTCACACTTTCCTAACATCAGGGGCTTTTCCAGGGAGTCTTCTCTTCTCATGAGATGGCCAAAGTATTGGAGCCTCAGCTTCAGGATCTGTCCTTCCAGTGAGCACTCAGGGTTGATTTCCTTTAGAATTGATAGGCCTATTCTCCTTGCAGTCCAGGGGACTCTCAAGAGTCTCCTCCAGCACCACAATTCAAAAGCATCAATTCTTCAACGGTCAGCCTACTTTATGGTCCAGCTCTCACTTCCATACATCACTACTGAAAAAACCATAGCTTTGACTATGTGGACCTTATGTCGGCACGGTGATGTCTCTGCTTTTTAAGATGCTGTCTAAGTTTATCATCACTTACAATGCCATAATTCAAAGTTGTCCCTCTCTGGAAACCAAGAATACCGGCACTGGAAATAATCCAACCATTTGGTACTTATTTACAGACCTCACTTGTCCACTGTGGGACCAAACTAGAAGGCAGCAGTCTCCTACCTCACACCGGTATTATGTAACATACCAACTAAGTTTCTATCTTTGGATAATGAGATACATTAAGCATAGGAACCCAGGGGCATTACTTCACCTTGCAAATCAGGGCTTGTAGAGCATTCAGGTCTCACCACTTCCTCCAGTGATCCTTGGTCCTGCAGCAAGGAAGGAACATTCACAACATACTGCTAACAAAAGGAAAACACACAAGCCCCAAACAACACAAACCCCGACAGCATCATATATTTCAAGTTAAGAGTGAAATCAGAGATACCTGGCCCTTCCAGCTTCAGAATGGGAATAGGTCAATGTGGTAGTTCGTGTATGGATCTGGGCAAAAGACTCCTACACAACTGATCCCAATCAAATATAGTTCAAGAAAAAAAATTCATAAACTTGAGACTCATTCTGGCTTCATTCCATGGTTTGCACACTTCAGTTCACTTCCTGGTTTCAAATGATTGGGCAAAAATGCAGGTTTGGATATGTTTGCCTGCATTCATTCTGTGTCTGCTGACTTCTGAATGCCAGGATATTGGAACAGGAACAACAGCTGCATATCATTTTTCAGTGAGGAAATTATTACATGCAACGCTATGGGCTGGCAATTGTTCGTCCCAACTGTGAGTGTTCTGGCAATCTGTTTCCAAAATCAAGGCTTCAGTCTTTCAGTTGAAAACTGACTCAAGACTGTACAATCAATTCAGTGTTTCATGTGGAAAAGTTATTTTTTGGACCACATCTGGAATCTCTTGGCCAAACTAGCTGGGGAATTCTGGGAAATGTAGTAAAACAAAGTGACATTTTAAGAGGCATTCAACAGAATTTCCAGTTGACTACACTTTTCTGCAAACATAGACAATTATGGAAAACTGAAGCGTGTGGACAGGAAAGAAATCCATAAATACATGAAGCCAGCTTACCTTATCATCATCGTCAAAATTTGGTTGGGAAAAGGATTGTTTGATAGGTGTTATGTGAGGAAAATCTTCTTCTGTTGAGCCTGATGGACTCAATGGAACTCTGTCTTCTCTGCATGCAGGAATATCCACTGGAAGATGTTTATCTGATATGTCAGAATCTAGTTCTTTCTTGCATTGCTTCACTTCCTCTATCGCTCCAATACTTCTTTCTGTGACGGTGTTCATACATTATGAGTAACTGAAGTATGCTAACAGATTTCTCACTAATTTTCTCTGATAACATTTTTTTTACATTTGCAAATCACCCCATCAAGTTCTCCAAGTGCCTTATACCGCACAAACAAGAACAAGCCAAAAAGAGAGAGCATAAAATCAAGATCTGTAGATCTCAGCACAGATATGAGTTATTAAAAGACCTGAAAGATTTTCATCTGGCATGAAAAAGACCAGCAGGCTATCCATCCACATGGACAAACTATTTTGTCTGCACTGAGCCTCTTTATTTGCGTCCATCTAACCGGGACTACAGCCACGCAGTAGTTTAGGACCTTCACAACTTCACCTCCAAGAGATGAAGGAGGTGGGTGTCATCTGCATACCAGGGATAAGTTCAAACCAGATCTGCAGATGACTCCTCTCAAGGGGCTCCATCTGGAACTGCACCAGGGAAGAAGTAGGACTCTGCAGAAGTATGACTGTCAGTGGAATGCACAGTAGTCCCCAGGTCCATCATCTGGAAACAGCCATCAGGGTGTGTACGGGGGAAAACCACTGGCAATCAGTGCCACTCACATTCAATTTGTGGTAACTTAAACAAATACATACAATGGTTAATGGTAATGAAGGTCACCGAGAAATCTCGGACCGCTAATACAGATGCTCTCTTCTCCTCTCTTAGTCAAAAGGCATTCAGCAATACACCAAAGGCAGTATATATGAACCAAAGCAAACTGAAATGGGTCTAATCAGATTCACCCAAGAGTGACTGGATTTGCCTGTCCAGTACTTTTCAATGCTATTGTCCAGACGAACAACACCATCCACTTGTCCATAATGATTAAAAAGTCACTTAGGTGAAGGTTAGATTTCTTTAGCAACAATCAAATTACTCCTTCTATCTTTAAAAAAACAGAGATTTTTCTTCTCTCAGTGGAGCACACCTAACATCTTTGACCAGGGATGGGAAATGTAGCTTTCCAGATGTTGCTTGATCACAATTTCTATCACCTTTTACCATGGGCCACGTTAGCTACAAATGATGACAGGTAGATCCCAGAGACACATGTTCTGTACACCTGTCTTGGACGCAGACAGACATCCTCTCTCTGTTAAAATTAATAAACTGATAGGTTGAGCATGCAAGTGATTTGACTGCACTTGACCGGGCATCCTGTACCCATGCACAGATTTTCCAATTATGAGAAGGAAACTATCGAGAATAGACTAGATGGTGCTCTGTCTACCTCCACCAATGACATAATGTTAACCATGAAGTCCCGATTCTGTCAGATGCAAACAACATTCAAGTATTTCGCAAATAGGTCAGGTCTTTTTCCAATCATTTTATTATTTCTTCCCATGCAAGACTGCAAGACATAGTGGAACACCTGGAGGAAATAAGCAGTGGTTATCAGGGTATGAGAAGAAGCTTGGGTTCAAAAGTGGACTACACACCTGTTTGCAGTAGTTCACAGTTGTTCAAGTTGGAGAGCAGTTCAGTTCCTCCCTCCCTCCCTGGATCGTGAAGATGCTCCTTTAAAAGAGCAATGTTATTCTTTAATGAATGAATCATTTCACATTAGATGGATAACTCATATTTTAGAAAAAGGCAAGTACCATGGGACATAATATGTATCTAGGATGACTAGCAATCATCGATAGTCTTATCCTAAATTTGTTTCAGCCTTCTTAGAGTCATCTACGAGTAAGATAGTGGCCACTGATACAGCATGTAATGTTCAAACACTTAAAAATAAAGAACATTATCATATGGAACTTGATAGTACTCTATACAGACTCAACTGAAGTACTGGAAATGAAGTAAAATCCAATGATAATCATCTCAAGAAAATATATTAAAGCACATAAGATCTTTAAGGCAGGATTTATAAAATACTTGAAATAACATTTTATTATTGGAAGTCTAAAATACATGGAAGATCCTGGTCACATACCAAGGAGAAAGTACTCAACGGAAGTCTAAAATACATGGAAGATCCTGGTAACATCTCAAGGAGTAAGTACTCAACTGCAGTACAGTGGTACCTCAACTTAAGAACTTAATCTGTATTGGCACTGCATTCTTAAGGCGAAACGTTCTAACTTAAGAACTTAATCTGTATTGGCACTGTGTTCTTAAGGCGAAACGTTCTTAAGTCAAAGCACCATTTCCCATAGGAATGCACTGAAAACCGATCAATGTGTTCCAAGGGAAGAAAAAAAGCAAAAAGGCAGGGGAAAAGAGCTGGAAATTTGAATTTCCCACCCTTTTCCCCTGCCTTTTTGCCTCCAGAGGTCTCAAACGGCTTCCTCCGATGTCGGGGGGAAATTTGAATTTCCCGTCCTTTTCCCCTGCCTTCTTTTGTTCGTAGGTCGAGGCTCTGTTTGCAAGTTGACGCCAATTTTTGTGAAAGAAGCCGTTCATAAGTCGAAATGTTTGTAGATAGGAACGTTCGTAAGGCGAGGTCCCACTGTACTTATTTCCTCATTTAAAAAAGGCAGAATGGAGGGACAACTCACTATTTTTTTAAAGCCTGCTTTGATTCCATACCCATGCACCCATCCTGCTACAAGCTGGCAGGTGTCATATAACTCAATCATATACCAACCGTCATGCCTTCAGGAAGTATCTTGACTGTCTTGACTGGCATTTTCTTCAGAGCAGAACGAAGAGAACTGGATGGTAAGCAACTTTGCAGGGGAGTGACAGGCGCTTTGGTGGTGTCAAATATTTCTAATCTTTGTTCTTCAGCAAATCTAACTTTCTTACAGCTGTTTTGATAGGAAACATCCCTGCTTAATTCTTCATTGGCACACAGGGTCTTCCTACCTTTGAAAAGAAGGAAATTGGGAAATTCACAATGGACTCTGACACACATCCACTTGGAAGGGAATGTCACTAAGTTCAATTGGAATGACTTGCACTTAAGTGTGTATAGGATGGTGGCCTCATTGCCTTATTTAAAAAGTCATTCACTTCCTCTGCATAGATAAAACATGAAGCATGCATCCACAGCACAACTGTAACATTTCACTAACACTTTAACTGTTCATGGCTCCATCTTATACAATCCTGGATGTAGTACAGTAGGACTCCTTTATCCACGGGAGATCAGATACAAGTCTCTCTCCCCCCCCCCACCCCCAGGTGGATGCAGAAAATGTGGATTATATCCAGAGGACTCCTTTATCCACGGGAGATCAGATAAAAGTCTCTCTCCCCCCCAACCCCCCGGGTGGATGCTGAAAATGTGGATTATAATAGTGAATGCTATACATAGTTCTAGTAACTTCATTGTTAGAAATGCGTATGTACAGGATTTTACTTTTAATACTTTCACATTGTAGATAAGTGAATATACGGATACAGATTCTGTGGATAAGTGGGTCCTACTGCACTTGGATTTTCTGCTAAAAATCTCTCATACATTGCCTTGAACTATTCGTGCCTCACAAAACAACAGATAAGATGTCTTCAAGGAGAACATGCTTGCATATTCCAGGTTTTATTTAAACACGGAAGATAACTCTTACCACATTCAGTCTTTGACGCTTCCTTCTGTGGAGTATATTCCAAATGCATACATCCAGATTCAACACTGCTTACTGACTGGACAGGAACAGCCTAGAACCAAAATTATCTGTCAGGCATATTAAAACGACCTGTTCAAATGACATAAGAATGACTGAATACTGACCCTCTTTAAAACTCTGGGATGCAAAGAGCATGAATGGGCAGCTCCTGGAGAATCTTCTAGGGCACTGACCCACGTGCCAGTTTTGTTGAGATAATACGAGGATCAGAAGAAAGAGGTAAAGAAAGTGCCTTTTCTTCCGCTCCTCTGAAGGATTAGACCCTCCCTGGCTTCAGTGCAGCAACAGAGAACCCATAGCAGAATTTTGCCCTGTTTCAAATCCAGAAGGGAAGGGAAAGAAACAAGACTTTTCTTTCTGCCAAGGTCCCATGAGAAAAGTCAAGATGTGAACTGGTATAGCAGCAAAGCCCAGGGGGCACTTTCTGAAGTCCATTATCTCAGATGTGCTTTGAAAGTCAATGCCAAATCACTCTCGCTCTCTTAGTCCTGCTGGACAGGTGAGATAGAGTAGGAACAACCTCCAGAGCTGCTCTTCTAAGCCAGTCAACTTTTCTGCTCTGAGAAAACAAGGTAACCCTGGTCTGGAAGGAAACAAACTCTTCGTTTCTCTCTGTCTAGGTTCTATAGCCCAGTTTCACCCAGCCAGAAATATTTCCACTTTCCGCCATTTAGAACACATTGCAATATTGCTTATTTCTGAAGAAGAATGGTACGGCTGGGCTTTAAAACAGTTCATTATGAGCATGGTAACAGCTGCTAAACTAGGGATTGCGAGAAATTGGAAACTGAAGTATACATATCAATTAACTGAAAGATACAATGAACTTTGAGAAATAGCCATCAATGATACATTGACATGGGAATTAAAGGTTAAAAAAGGAACTGCTGAGGAATAGCAAGTTCACTGAAATATGCCAAGACATTGAACTATGTGTTAAGGAAAAGGGAAAGTTGATCACCTAAACATGAGATAACATTATTTTGGAAGGGCTATGAGCCATGATAACAGCAATACCATATGGAATACATATATTTCTGTCTCTTCTGGTCTTTGTGACGGGTGTACCAATATTAGTTAAGGGGTTTTCCCACCTTTCCAACTGTGCAGACCTTTTTAAAGTTTTAAGGTATGTGTATGTTTACCATGTTGTTCAATGCGCAGAGACACTTGCTGCTTTATCTATGCACAAATGTGTAATTTACAGGCATTAACTCTAATGTGTGTGTATATATGTAGAAGGCCACCTTATATAAATACATAAGCTTTGCCCAAAATTATATCTTACATACTTCCCCTTCCCATTTTTATACACTGACTTTTTTCCCTTTTTATATTTTAACATTCAACAAAAACAATGAAGGAGAAATGTTTAATTCACTTAGGACACATTGAAACCAGAAAGTGTTTAACAAAGAGACAAACTTTGCAGGAAAAAATAGTTGTTTCTGTACTAAATAAAAATAATCCTGACATGGCAACATGGTAACATTTCCTTCTTGTACTGGCTACAGAAACAACACTCCTACATTGCTTAGTTCGGCAGAGGGCATATGAATTGCCTAAGGCTACTGACAGTATTAGCAATTCTGAATGAAGGACACAACTGTAAATAAATAAATAAACTGGAGAGGGAAGCACAGACCCACACATTTACACAGCTACCACAACATACCTTAGAAATAGCAACTGTGCCAACAAGAAGAGCCTTCTCTGATGGCGAAGCAAAAGTACTCGTCTGGATACCAGCTGATATTCTATCTCCATTCATGGCTTTATGATTTATATCGTCCTCCAAAGCAATTTTCTTACATCCAGATGTCAAAACCTGCCCATGTTTGGAAGGCTCATATGGTGTTGTATTAGCTTCTTTAGCTGTATTGAACACATGCACATAATGTAAACTATTTTTTTAAAAAAACATCTCTAAATCAGGCTGGATTTGATTTAAATAAAATTCATTTAGACCAGAATTTAAATCTTAAAAATCGGCTTTGTTGACAATTTAAATGAAATATACTGTCTTTCACAGATGCAACCTCCCGAAGCAGTTTACAATATCTTGTATATAAGATTGTCGTCTACAGAGTTCCCAAGTCTTCACAAAAAATTTAAAACACACAAGTATAAGACCTTGGATGACCCTAGAAACACCTTATTGAGAACCACTGAATGAACTATCCCATTTGGATTTTAGAAGATATCCGGTTTTAGCATTTTTGATCAAATTAAAATAGTAAATCCTATAATATAGATGAGGTTCGTTGCTGCTTGAGTCCTAGTGTGGTGCAGTAGATTGAGTGACAAATCAGGACTCTGGAAAACAGGGTTCAAATCCTTGCTTCAGGCATGAAAACTCACTAGGTGAGCAAACCTGGTAAATCCATTCCTTAAATATTTCACTTAACTCAGCCCTATTGTGGTCATAAGTCTGTTCCAACTTGATGGCACAGAACACATGCAGGTGTTGCTTACTTACGGGTATCGCTTATATGGATCCCTTTTTCCTCAATTTCCTCCAGTGGCTTAAAAGATGATTGGAAAGCAGCTATTTTAGCCTTCAGCAAAGTGTTTTGGTGTATAAATGGATTGGCCTGCTCAAAGAAACCAAAACAAGCTTTCTCAGAAAGTTCAAGATGAAATGTTACAAGCCCAATAAAAACAAATACCACGGATGTGTTTTTCTTTCATCATCATCATCATTACATTGTATTTCCTTGAAAACAGCTAAAACCAACCATCCCCAGTTCATACTTCATGATGCAGCATATCTACCTCTGGGAGTGTGTTTTGCTTCCTTACTCTTCTTTGGTGAGCAATGTATCGGATGAGAGAATTGTTCTCGGGAGATCCCCGCACTCCAATTGTTGATCGGCGTTTAAATTTGTTGATCAGACTCTTGGATGCCCCTAAAACAAGAGCAGTCTCTGTTGAACACCCAGCAAAGCCTACCCAAGTCTCTAAGCAAAGAATTTGTTTTCGAAATCACAACATCAATTCACAAGATTTAAAATATAAATCTGTTTGTAAGATGAAGTTATCTTACACTTTAAATCAGAGATGGACCATCTCTGAATCTCGAGATGTTGTGGAACTCAACACTGCTCTTCCTTCCCATAGGCTATTGTGACAAGGGCTAATGGGAAATGCAATACAACTGCATCTAATTAAAGCCTGGATTTTTTTTCCACAAGCCCTTTATGGCCTTACCCCAGACTAATCTTGTCTCGAGTACAGTAATTAGTTTTTTTCTTTCTTGTCGCTTGCGACTGTGAATTTGCTGTTGTCTGATGCCCATGATTATTATACAGTTGTGCCCCA